TCGTCCGCTGTCGTCCGCTGCCGTCCGTTGTCCGTCCGTCCGTCGTCGTCCGTCGTCGTCGTCGTCGTCCGTCATCGTCGTCGTCTGTCGTCGTCCGCCATCGTCGTCGTTCGTCGTCGTCGTCGTCCACCGTCGTCGTCGACCGTCGTTGTCCGTTGTCGTTTTCGTCGTCCGTCGTCGCCCGTTCGTCGTCGTCGTCGTTGCCCGTCGTCGTCGTCGTCGTCCGTCGTCGTCGTCGTCCATCATCGTCGTCGTCGTCGCCGCCCCTCCTCGAATTCGTCGTCGTCGTCGTGTCGTCTTCGTCGTCGTCGTCATCCGACGTCGTCGTCCGTCGTCGTCATCCGACGTCGTCGTCTGTCGTCGTCGTCGTCGTCGTCGTAGTCGCCCGTTGTCGTCGTCGTCGTCGTCCGTCGTCGTCGTCGTCGTCGTCGTCGCCCGGCATCATTGTCGTCGTCCGCGGTCGTGGTCGTCTGTAATCATCGGTGTCCGTCTGTGGTCATCGGTATCCGTCGTCGTTGTCGGTGTCCGTCGCGTCGTTCGCCCCTGGTCGTGGTCGTCCGTGGTCGTCGGTGTCCGTCGTCGTCGTCGTCGGTGTTCGTCGTCGTCGACGTCGTCGTCGTCGTCTTCTCCTCCTCCTCCTCCTCCTCCTCTTCCTTTTCTTCCTCTTTCTCCTCCCTCTCTTTTTTCCCCTGGCTGACATGCTTGCTCAAGGCCGTCGAAGATCGAGGCAAGGCGCTGTTGGGCGTTTTCGGTGAACTTTGGCCGTCGCCGGCTTCCAGGAGCCCAGGGGCCTACTGGGGCTTCGCGGGGGACACTGCCTGGCTAGCCCCGACATTGCCCTGGCGCAGCTCCCATGCCGCGCCTTCACGCACAACGAGTTTGGAGAATTTGTCGCCCCCTGGCTCCCAGCAGCTCCCTCTAAACAGCGGCCAGGAGGAGGAGGAGGAGGAGGAGGAGGAGGAGGAGGAGGAGGAGGAGGAAATGAGGGGAGGGGGAGGAGGAGGAGGAGAGAGGAGGAGGAGGAGGGGAGGAGGAGGAGGGGGGGAGGGGAGGAGGAGGGGGGAAGAGAGAGGGGAGCGTGGAACGGCCTGTCCCCGGGGAGGAGAAAGCCCACGACCACGGCGGGACGATGGGAAGAGCGAGGCGGGAGGGCAAGGGGGGGAGCGAGGAGGAGGGAGGGGACGGCTGGGGCTGGATGGAGGCAGAAAGATGAGGCGGAGGAGAGGAGAGAGGAGGACTAGGTAGGAGGAGGAGGAGGAGGAGGAGGAGGAGGAGGAGGAGGAGGATGCATGGGAGGATGAGGAGGATGATGAGGAGGAGGAGGAAGGGGGGATGGAGGAGGATGATGAGGAGGATGAGGAGGAGGAGGAGGAGGAGGAGGATGGGGAGGATGAGGAGGAGGATGAGGAGGACGGTTGGGGATGGAGGCAGAACGAGAAGGCGGAGAAGAGGAGGAGGAGGAGGAGGAGGATGAGGAGGATGAAAAGGAGGATGAGGAGGAGGAAGGGGGGAGGAGGAGAGCGCTGGACCCCACTGGCGCGCGTCGCGCGCCAGGGAGGGGGGATCTGCGCCGAGTCAAAAAAACTCGCTCGGACCTCAGAAACATATGTTTGCGCATGTGCTTATGTTTCGAGTACTTCCGCTACCAACTACAGCATGCGGGAAACATGTGCTGGCCTTCTTGAACTTCGCACGGAACACGCCAGAATTCCCGTGCGGACGGCGGATCTTGCCCCACATCACGCGGTACTTCGAGTTCTTGACCTGTAAAGGCAGGGGCCCGAACTCGTAGGCGTCAATGGCGGAGCAGCCAAAACGGGTGTATAAACAACGCACTAATGACGTACCGGTCCGGACGCCTTCGGACATGCTGTGGTCTGGTGATGAATACTCGCAAGCCCTGTGGCCCCCCTTCCGCTGCCTGGGGCTGCCCGCTCCAAGATCTTTAAGATGCCGTCTGCAACATTGTGCAAACCAGCTTCCCTCACGAGTGGGCTGACGTGGAACAGTGCAACAATCGGTTCGGACATAGTTGGCCACAATTCCATCAACACCATGAGCACATGAGCACTGGAACGATCGCCAGAGTATCGAACCAAGGCACCAACCACACGGACGGATGAGGTCACACGAAACGGCCCATCATGCCCACAAACTTGCAGTCCTGCTTGGGGCTATCAACGACAACTCTGCTGTACTAGAGCTGCGCGTGTGAGGCACAAGCGAGATGGGGAAGCGGAGGGAGGTGAGCCAGACAATCGGAGGCTGGCTGCAGACACACAGTCCACTTTTACGCCCTTGGCCTGGGGACGATCAGGCAACATCGGGACCTCGGATCGATTTGGAGCGAGCGTCGGATCGGGCTGCATGGGCACCGAGTCGGAATCGAATCGGTCGCCAGGGTGCACATCAACGCTCATGCAAGCATCGGGCCGCGTCGACTCGTCGGAATGTCGCCTAGAAATGGGCACTATGGTGTCATGTCCTGGTACGCCCTGAACAATGACCCTCGGAGGGCGTGATCGTTTCACGAAGCGGGCTCCAGGAATCCAGACACCATCCCCGAGACCCCGTCTTCGCCGCGGGCCGCCTCTTGACGGCCCCCTGCAGGGGCCGAATACGTCGCCCAGAGGCCAAAATCTGCCGACCCTTCGGCGTGTGTGAGACGCTGTCGTCGTTTTCGTCGTCATCGCCAGTCCCAAGAAAATTGAGGGACGAACAGAGAAAAGAAACGTCGTAGTTAAATCGATTCCCTTCCATTTTGTCCTTCCCTGACGGGGGGGTAGGGGGGGGGTCAAGTCACCCTCCCCCCCCGCGAGCCGTCCTGCTTTCTCCCACCCGCCCTCCCAACACATGAGTAGCGCCCGAGCCGCAGCGTGTTCAGCGGTAGTGTTTGGATGGGCAGCTAATGGGAACCAGAACAGACCCCATCTGCGCAACGCTGGGGCGAGGTGCGCCAGGTGTGCCAGGCGTGCCTTGCGCGCCAGGTGCGCCAGGCACCCCTGTGGCCCAAGCGTGCTGGGCACGCCCGGTGCGCCAAATGCGCCACGTGATCCACGTGCGCCAAGTGAGCCGCATGCTCCAGCCGCGCCAGGTGCACCACGTTTGGAAAACGCGCAGAATGTGCCAGGTGCGCCTGCGCACGTGACAATAATTGCACATCGGAAAACGTGTCGGCCCCCACCACCCTTGTCGAAAACCAGTGCGCAATCGCGGCGGGGTGGCCATCATAGCGTCTCATGGGCCTGCACATAGCAGGCAATCTGCCAGCACCGCACCCCCGCCGTCCTGATCAAAAACCAGTGCACAGTGATCGCGGGGTGCCCGCGCATGATCCAGATTTTGTTTCGAAATGCATGTTGCATTTTTTGTCAAGGATGCTGAAGACCCCGCCGTCCCTGCAAAAAACAATACAAAACGATCGCGACCCCCCCGATCATGACCCAAGATTTTGTGCCCCAAAGTGGATTTCACCTGGTTTTTTGAGAAGGGTGGTGGGGGGTGCCCTCCTTGGTCATGGTTGGCTGCCAGTCGCCTGGGGGAGGGGGTATTTATTAACAGAGACCAATGATAATGGGGGGGGGTTTAAGCAAGGGCTCCCAACTTCGCGCTTCGCGCTGCGCGAAGTGCGAACAACTTCGCGCTCTCGCGCCGCCTCCCAGGGGAGAAGAGGAGGACGAGGAGGGATCGGAGCCGAACCGCGAACCGCGAATAACCCCGCGCCCTCGAGGGCGCCCTTGGATAATGGCGGGGGGTCAGACGGGGGGGTCCCAAGTCAGGTCAGCTTAACACCCCCCGGGGGTCCTGGCGGGCTCTGGGGCGTGGCCCCACCTGTGGACAAACGAGGGTGACGGGAAAGGGGCTCCCCCTTTGGGGGGGCCGGCCCTGGTCCCGGCCCTGGCCCCGACCCCGGCCGTGGTCCCAGGGTCCAGGGAAGGGATCCCGAGGACTGGGGTTAAGTCGGGCGTGTCCCCCGACACGGGGATTTTGAACAAAAGATTTAAAACAAATGCCCCAAAACTGCCCCCAAAATGGCCAAAAAGTGATCGAAAAAGAATCCCCTGACTATTTTTTTACTATTTTTGGATGTTCCCCCCGTAGAGGGACAGGTCCGGCTCAAGACTGGGGGGAGGTCTTGCCTTCAGGATCGGCGGCGCCAGCCGCAAGGCCTCCACCATCCTGGGGAGACAGCGTCCGACGCTGTCTTCTGTTCCCGAAGCCTCCAAGGCCGCATGCGAAGCTCACCGTGCTATGACCGTGTTTCGGGGACCACATGCGAACCCTACCCCAACCCCCCCACGATTTCCAAGGGGGGGGGGGGTAGGGCTAGGGCTCGCACGTGGCCCCCTAGTGTTTCCTCCTGCCTCCTCCCCCGCGGCCGCTCTTCCGCACTGCGTTGGCCCGCGGGCTGCTCCAGACCGACCGCGGTGTGGCCCACATCGCTGCGACAAACACGGTTTGTGCCGCGACGCGGACATCTGGACATCTGGACATCTGGAAATCTGGACATCGAGCGCATGTTCTGGACATCTGGAAATTATTTGGCAACATGCTTCCTCTCCATGGATCGTCCTCCACAACGCTAAAGGTCTGGGAGCGATGGCACTGCCACCTCAAGCATCATCGGCCGCATCACCGCCGCAGACCGGGCCCGCGGAATGACAATACGCGGCGAGGCGTGGCCAGTGCTCTCTCCCAGGCGCAAGTGCTCCTCTCATCACCCTGCACCAGCCCAACCGGCGAGACTGACAGCCGTGCGTTCGTGACGAATGAAATCCGCCGACCCCTTGGGGTTCATCGGCGTGTGAAATGTTCCCCCTCCCCAAACCCCTCCCCCGGGAGCCCGGTCCGGTCGATTTGGAGGAGGGGGGGGGGTCCCCTCGGATGCCCCGGACGGCCCGGGACGGGAGCGGAGGTGCCAGCCGCTCCCGAAAATCGTGCAAAACCTTTGGAAAATCGTGCACGGACTCCTCTGGTGGCCTCGAAATGGCTCTTGGACGCCAAACGAGCGCTCCAAGACGCTCACGGTGGCCCAAAGACGGGCCACGAGGCGTCCTAGGTCCCAACGAGCGGCCCCGAGTGCCTCCAAGATGCGTTCCACGAGGGTCCCTCGACGCAAAAATTTGCCCATTCCCATCGTGAAACGTACATTTTTCACAAATTCGGCGTGGGGCCTTTCCGATGCTCCCCGACGGCCCAAGAGGCCCCCAAACCCGCTCCCAGACGGCCCCAGAAGCCTCGCAGAGGGTCCCCCACAGACCCCTCGAGGGCCCGACGACGGGCCAACAGGCGTCCAAGACGGCCCACGAGGGCTCCGAAAACGGCCCGAAGAGCGCTCCAGGAGCGCTCCGAGTGGCCTCCACAAAGCTCCACATGGTCCCAGACCGTCCAAGAGCGATCAAAAACATCGACGACGGCCTCCCGACGGCTCAAGAGGCCCCCCAAGACGCCCCAAGGGGCATCCAAGATTCGCCCCAAGAGGCCCTCCAGACGCAAAAAATCGCCCGTTCCCTTCGTAAAACGTATATTTTCCACACGTGCGCCTTTTGGGGTGTCCCCCGCTCCTGGACGGCCCCAGAGCCCCCCAAACCCGCTCCCAGACGGCCCAAGACGCCTCCAAGAGGGTTCCCCACATAGCCCTCGAGGGCCCCACGACGGGCCAACAGGCGTCCAAGACGGCCCAAAAGGGCTCCGAAAACGGCCTCGAGAGCGCTCCAGGAGCGCTCCGAGTGGCCTCGAAGAGAGCTCCACATGGCCCCCGACGGTCCCAGAGCGATCAAAAACACTGACGACGGCCTCCTGACGGCTAAAGAGGCCCCCGAAACGCCCCAAGAAACATCCACGATGCGCCACAAGAGGGCCTCTAGACGCACAAAATCGCCCGTTCCCTCCGTGAAACGTATACCTATACGACCACCCTGCGGGTGATAAGGAGGTGAGGGGGGAGGGGGAACCAACGTCTCACTCAATCGATCTCGCTATCTATCTCACATTCGATCTCATTATCGATATCACTATCGATCTCGCTATCGATCTAACCATCGATCTCACACTCGATCTCACAATGGATCTCACATTCGGTCTCACATTCGGTCTCACTGTCGATCTCACAGTCGATCTCACTATCGATATCACAATCGATCTCGCAATCCATCTCACATTCGGCCTCACTATCAATCTCACTATCGATCTCACAATCGATCTCACAATCGATTTCACACTCGGTTTTACATTCGGTCTCACTATCGGTCTCACAAACGATCTCATTATCGACCTCACAGTCGATCTCACTATCGATATCACAATCGATCTCGCAATCGATCTCACATTCGGCCTCACTATCAATCTCACTATCGACCTCACAATCGATCTCACAATCGATTTCACACTCGGTTTTACATTCGGTCTCACTATCGATCTCACAAACGATCTCATTCTCGATCTCACAGTCGATCTCACTATCGATATCACAATCGATCTCGCAATCGATCTGACACTCATCATCACCATAATCAATCATCATCATCACCATCATAGTCATCATCATCGGGACACCATAATCAGCATCATCAATCATCATCAACACCATCATCATCGGGACACCATTATCATCATCATCTCATCATCATCCTCAACATCGTCATCATCATAAGCATCATCATCACCATCATCATCATCGGGACACCATCATCGTAATCATCATCATCAACGAACTAATCATCATCATCATCATCATCATCATCATCATCATCGTCATGATCATCATCGGGACACCATCATCATCGACATCATCATCATCAACGTCATCATCATCATCATCATCATCATCGGGACACCATCATCATCATCAACATCATCATCATCATCAACATCATCATCAACATCATCGTCATCGGGACACCATCATCATCAACATCATCAACGTCATCATCATCACCACCATCATCACCATCATCACCATCATCATCTCACAATCGATCTGACTATCGATCTCACAATCGATCTCACTATCGATCTCACAATCGATCTCACATTCGGTGTCACTATGGATATCACAATCTATCTCATAATCGACGTCATCATCATCAACATCAACATCAACATCATCATCATCATCATCATCATCATCATCGCCATCATCAACATCATCATCATCATCACCATCATCACCATCATCATCATCATCATGATCATCATCATCATCACCATCACCATCACCATCACCATCACCATCATCATCATCATCATCATCATCATCATCATCATCATCATCATCATCATCCACATCATCATCGGGACACCGACGGGACACCGACGGGACACCAGCGGTACACCAGCGGGACACCGCGCGCCACCGGCAGCCCGGAAGCCTCGTGAAATGCAGTCCTGGAGGCGCAGTAGCTTATATAGGGGTCGGCGGGTGTGGCGTAAGCCTATAGAATCGAGTGCGGGGCCTAGCACATTCCCTGTTTTATATTTGTACTTCCTGCAAGGGAGGAAATTCCCCCGCCCCCCCCAAAAAAACGGGGCCCCACGAATCCGTGGCTCCGAGGGCCCCCTGGACGCCCCTGCATAAGGTCCCCTGGGCTTCCCGGGTCTCCTAGAAGCCCTTACTGGGCCTACGCACCGGACCCAAATCAGTGAGGAGGGCGGCCGAACGGCCCCGCGAGAGCCCCAAGAGGCCCCAGACACCCACCAGACGCCCGACTATAGCCCAAAGAGACCTCTTCAGAGGCATTTGAAACCCAAGCAAACATTGATTTCCAATGTTTTTGTTGCATGATTTGAGGGAGTGCTCTGCTCTTCGGTCAGCCGGGCGTCCGGGACCGCCCACAAAAATCATCGCCCCAAAACTACCTCAACGGGCTTGCAGGCAGTGGAACAAAGAGCCCCAAGACGGCCCGGCAGGGCCCCAAGATGGCCAGAAGAGAACCCCATGACAGCCCAAAATGGCCCGAAGACGCCCCCCGAAGCATTCCAAATCGTGACCTGGTCGTTCGGGGAGACCGCGGTTGAAAGCAGGCTGGTTCGAGGAAGACCCCAGAGACCCCCAGAAGCAACCCAGGAGGCCTCCAGAAGGCCCCAAAATAGCCCCGAAACGCTTTCTGAAGGCCCGAAACGGCGAAGGAGGATGGTGGCTGATTTGCAGGGTAGGGCAAGAACGAAGAGAAGAAGAGGACACATGGCACACAACGAGCGGCGAAGTCTGAGAAACCAGCAACAAGGAATTGTCGCTAAACTTGCAACGTGGATATTATGGCAAAGGGTTAAAGCTACTGAATCTGTCCGAAATTCGCCCCCCCAAAAAACCGAAAGTTTGCTGGGGAAGTTCGGACTACGTTCGCAAATGTTCGAAAGCAACACGGCCGAATCTGACGCGCCTGCCGCCTCGCCCACGCGGCGCCTGTTCCCCTGGGCCCCCGACACGCTCCGCATGGGTCCACACGTGCACTGCGGTGGAAAAGCTGGCCGGCGCGGCGACAAAGTCGCGCTCGGTTTTGCCGCCCTCTTCTGCGGGCAGCCAGAACGGGCGCGAGCCTGTCGCCAAATCGGCGTCGGGGGGGCACCGCCAGGGCAAGGCGGCGGATATGTCCAAATGGTCACTCATGCTTTCAAGCTTTTCCCAAAAGGTTCTCTGAACACCCCTGGATAATTCTAGGCGGACGTCTTTGTGACACCTGGACCAAAACATCATTTTCAGATTCTCGAGTCAACGCCCACCCCCACCCCGTCTTCGCCCCCTCAACCCGCCCCGGGCCTTGCTCAAAACCAATAAGCGACCTGCCCTCCTTCCGCCACGCATCTCTCGGATCCGTCATTTACCCTGTCGTGTTGCCCTACCTCCACGTTTACCCCGTCGCATTCCTTTTCCGGGATCCAGGCCTAGGATATACGGCGAAAGAAGGTCAGAGCCAAAAGGGACGGGCGAGATCCGAACAGACCGAGGGGGGTCCAACAAACCAAATGTCAACCCCCAGCCGCCCTATAGGTGCCTTCTACTGGGCGCCGCCTAGGCTTCCTGAGGGATTCGGTAAGGATTCCTGCAGGGTACCTGAGGACTCCTGGGACCCAATGGGGAATCCAAAGGCTTCGTGCTGATCTCAGAAAGGAGTCCTGATCCGAAAAAGGATTCATGAAGGATTCACGAAGTATTCGTCAGGCTCCCTGGAACATTCTCAAGAATCCTTTTGGGACTCTTGTGTTCCCCTCAGGCTTATTCGCAGAGATTCCTGGCGATTCCTGATGGATCCCTGAAGATTATGTGGGAATCCTGAATGATTCCTGAAGCATTCTTGGAGGATCCCGCCGAGACCCCTGACGGATTCCAAAAAGAACACCTTCGGTGTCTGAAGGAATCCTGAACAAGTTCCTGAGGATTCCTGCGGGTTCCTCTGGATTTCTTTGAAAAAAATTCCCCAAGGGATTCTGTGAAATTCCGACTGGATACCTGAGGAGCCCAGCAGCCTTCCTGAAGATTCCTGCGGGCTCCTGAGGAGCCTGGGGGACCAAGAGGCAACCGGCTCCAAGAGACCCCTAAGAGGCGCCAAGAGGCCCCCCAGAGGCACCCATGACGCCCCAGTAGGCCTCGGGTGTGTGAGAGAGGACGAGAGAGAGAGAGAGACAGAGAGAGAGAGAGAGGAAGAACAAACAAACAAGCAAAACAAAAAAATGGAAAAAGCCGAGCAAACAATATGTGAGCTCCTGCTCCCAAGCCTTCGGCCTCTCCTCGTCCGCCTCCACCTTCTCCTCCTTGCTGCCTTCTGCATCGTCTTCGTGCTGACAGTTCTCTTCCCCTCCGCCTTCGCCTCCTCCTGCGGCTCCTTCTCCTCCTCATGGACATCACGGGCCTCCTCCAGCTCGCCAAGGAAGCTGCAGATCATACCATGACTTCTGATGCTGCCAGCGCCGCATCCCCAGCCTTTGCCTTCGCCATGGGAACCCTCCCCCCTCCCTCTTTCGCGGGCCTCCTTCTTCGCCTTGTAGACGTACGCGACGCGCTTGCCGAGGTAATACGTGCAGTCGTCCCGCGTCCGCACGCCGTCCACCTCGAGAACGGCCGATGGGGCGTCTCCTCGTCCCTTGCTGCTCCTAAAATGGTGTTCCTTCTTATCGTTCTCCTCCACCCTGTCCTCGTCACTGAATCATCTCCTCCACCTTCTTCATGCTCATTGTCCCCCTTCAGACCCTTTCCTCCTCCAGAAACCTTCTGGAAGCACCCGCAAACCTGAGAATGCAATCGGCAAGCTCGGGATGCCGCAAAAACATATCCTAACGCCTCCCACTCCTGATCTCCAACCCTTCTCCTGCCCACCCTCTTCGCAGCTGCCTTGAGAAGCGTCGTGTTCGGGTATACGTTGGACTTGCTCCTTGGATGGCTCCAAGGGGGAGGATGGAGCGGGGGAGCAAGAGGGGGGGAAGAGTGGGAAGATGAACGAAGAAGGAAGGGGAGGAACAGGGAGAGGACGGGCGGAGGATAGAGGAAAGAGGATGGGAGGAAAGGAACTCATAGGAGAGAGGACGGCGGATGGAGGCGAGGAGAAATAAAAGAAGAGGAAGAAGGAGAAATGGGGGACTGGGGGAAGAAGTGTGAGGAGGAAAACGACGACGTGGGGGCATGTCGTACTTGGATGGGGGAACATGGGAGCACGGGAGGATGGAGGCTCGGCGCGTGGTACCCGGTGTGAACGCCCAACCGGCGCATTGTGCCCGCGCGGTCCAGGTGGCCCTGGGGCGCTGACCCTTGCGAGAGCCCCAGGACATCTGGCAGCTCGGCCGGGCCATGTCTCGCAAGCTCAGCCGAGACTCGGCTCCGTGCTCTCACCCTCAGTGGCAAAGTCAGAACCAGCCGCGAGCACCGAATGTGTGGATGCGAGGCGCCTGGAGCGAGCCACGTCAGGGGCACCCGTGGACCGAGGAAGTGGAAGCCATGACAGTCGTGTCCAGAACCGAGGGATGCACGGGCCCCTTGCCTCGAGGGTTCGTGCTGAAGGACGGATCTGATTGCAGATGCGACGAGCTTTCGGTCGGGCGTGTCCCCCTACTACAGGTGGATTCTGGCCAAACGCATGCTTGACAAGCCGCCCCCAGCCTACCTGGTTTCTCTACTGCATCACACATCCCCCCCCTGTAGAGGCGCAGGCCCGACTCGAGACCAGCCTTGAGGCGTGGGCCCCGAGCTGGTCGATGACTGGTGCTCCTCGCGGCGCGCCCGAGCCCGGGGCATCCGACGATCTGCCGCACGCCACTCGCACGCACCTCCTCGAGCTCTGCCTCGTGGGGCCCGTGGTCGGGCCCCGGGACGACCCAAGGAAAGGCCCCCGACGAGCGACCTGCCACCCCGGGGGAAGGCGCCGCGGCCTCCGGGGGCCCGCCCCGAGACCAGCCTGTGGGGCGTGGGCACGCCCTCCCTGCCGCCGCGCTCCCCCGGCCTCCGCACCGCGGCCTGCGCGGGTGCTCCAGATTTCGTAATAAAAGGGAGGGGGTCTGGACCCTCCAAGACGAACCATTTCAGACCTCCCCCGTGGGAGAACCCTCCAAAACATCGTCCCCAGACCCTCCCAGGCCCTCCAAGATAACCTGGAAGAGACCCCCCCCCCCGAAATGAGACCCCCTCCCTTTTATTACGAAATCTGGAGTACACACTGCCCGGCCTGGGAGGGCGCCCCGGACAGAGGCGAGCTCAACAGTTGAGCAGGGGCCGACCGTCCTTGGCATTCCGATAGTCCTGCCACGGATTGCTCTTAGAACCCAAAAATGTTCTAGGAACGAAAACCATGTTCTTAGAGCATAAACCCGATGTGATAACACAAGACAGTCCCAACCAGAAATGTTGTAAGAACAGTTCGTGGGATCTTAGAAAATTGCTTGGTGAGGCTATAGACGAGCCAGGACGCTTCGACACTGCTTGAAACAGAGAACGGGCCACCCACACGGCAGCGAAGACAGACGAGGGAGAGGAAGCGAAGGCGAGGTTCCTCTTGTAGCCCAGAATGACGCCCTTCGCGTACAGACGCACCGGCTGCTTAGTCGCCGCCTTCTTCGCGACCGCCATCGCGGCTACCTGCCACTCCCGCCGCCCCTTCCGCACCCTGCTCGGCCTGCTTCCTGCAGCCCCGGGGTGCTCCTGCCGCTCTTCTCTTCCGTCCCCACCCCACGAGCCACGATACATGAACTCCCAGAGCCCCGCCAACCCCCCAATACAACTTCTGGAGCATCCAACGCACGCTCCTCCTCGTCGTGGTCCTCTCTCCGTCCTCTCTCTTTCCTCAACAGCTTCCCAATCCCAAGCCAGCTCGCTCCAATCCTCCTCCTCCTCCTCCTCCTCCTCTTCCTCCTCCTCCTCCTCCTTTTGTTTATCATCATTCCTCTCCTCCCCCCATCGCCTCGACATGTTCCATGTATGATGGTTTGTTGTTATCTCTCTCGCTCAATGTCTCTCTCTCGCTCTCGCTCTCGCTCTCTCTCTCTCTCTCCTTCTCTCCCCCTCTCTCTTTTCATTGTGTTTGCTCTCTCGCTCTCTCTCTCTCTCTCTCTCTCCCTCTCTCCTCTCTCAATATCGCGATATAATATAATATATATATATATACACCAGTCATTCCCCCATAATTCCTCATCTTCTGCCTTCTCCCCCACATCCACAGAACCTCCCCCCCATCTGTCAGCCGCCCCTGTACATATCATCATCCCCGCACCCTGTTCCCGTCAACCGTCCTTCTCCTTTTCCTCCCCCCCTCACCCAAATCAACGTACATGATTGATGGCCCTTCGTCCCGTCATTTCAAGACCTCCCCATTTCTTCTCAATAGTTACCTGCCCCCGTCCCCAATGCCCCCTCCCCCGGATCGTCAACATTCGCCCTGATCCGTTTCGAACTACTCCCTGTCATCCCCCTAATTCCCTCATTTTCTTGACCGCATGTCCAAATTTTGGGTGTCCCAAAACCGTGTGGTGACAGACCCGGCGGTGACCTCGAAATCCGCAAAGACCTCACCGCACGGTCCGTCACCACACGGTTTTGGGACCCTGGAGGCTCCAGTCGCCCGAGACATCCTCGGAGAGCGACCCAAGTCCCAAAACCGTGCGGTGACCCCGAATCCCCACCGACTCACCACACGGTGTGGTCACCACCCCGTTTGGGAGCCTCCGACAATTTTTTGCCCCGCCTCCTGACCACGGACCTACCGGGAAGTGCAAGTGCGAGTTATGCGACCGCGCTGCACGAACAACGCGGCGCGAACTGTCGGCCCTCTCCATCGCGTCCTCAAACAGAAATGGTGGCCCCTCCTTCTCATTGTTATGTTCACTGCCTCCTCCGTCTTCTGACCGCGGCCCTCCTCCTTTTTTGTTGTGTTAGGCAAGCTGCGAGGCGCACTCCTCCTCCTCCTCCTCCTCCTCCTCCTCCTCCTCCTCCTCCTCCTCCTCCTCCTCCCCCTCCTCCTCCTCCTCCTCCCCCTCCTCCTCCTCCTCCTCCTCCCCCTCCTCCTCCCTCCTCCCCCTCCTCCTCCTCCTCCTCCTCCTCCTCGTCCGCCCTATCCCGCGTCGAATTCGTGCTGTTTCCACCCCTCCTCATCCACAATCTCGCCCCCTCTCTGTCTCCACCCCTCGCCGTGCAACTCCTCCTCATCCACTCCTCCTCCTCCTCTTCCTCCTCCTCATCGACTCCTCCTCACTCCATCCCTCGCCGTGCAACTCCTCACTCCTCATCCACTCCTCCTCCTCCTCCTCATCCACTCCTCCTCACTCCTCCTCACTCCACATGTTCGCCGCGCCGTTGAGGTCCCTCGGCCCCTCCACCGATATCCTGGTCCTGTCAGTTTTGAGAAGGGGGAGGTCCACCATATTCCCCTGGGCGAGGGGGGGGCTCGACCAGAGCCCACGGTGGGCTCATCTGATACAGGACTCACTCATTTGCGCCAAGCTTGCCCCAGATGGCTCCAAGACAACAAAAGCTATGCGGTTTCCCGAAAAGATGCGTCTGCACACTTGACTTGCTCGCCTCTTCAATCTTGAGGGCGTCTAATGCAGCCCAAGGCCTCAAAGATCGCCCCAAAACGGCCTTAAATTCCCCAAAGAGGGCTACAAGAGTGCAGAAGAGGGCCCCAAGATGGCCCAATAGGCCCCCCAATACTGCCCAAGCGACGCCCATGAAGGCCCCGGGGGAAGCCCGAGTCACCGTGCCGCGAGGCACCGAATGGAGTGCCTTGAGGTCCCCTAGAGAATCCTCCCGTGATTTACATCAACTCTTCAGAGGTCCCACAGCTCCGGACTCCAGGCGCTCCTGAGCTCTCACGGGGTTTGTCGAGTGTTGCCGGGTGGCTTCTCTGGAGTCAGGAGGGCGTCAAAGCGGGCCCACAGCGCTCCAAGACCACCAAGACGGTCCAAGAAGGCTCCGAGACGGCCCAAGAGGCCCCAAAGACGCTCTGAGAGGGCTCCGCGAGAGCCCCTCCGACGGGCACCAAGGGGAAATACATATGTGATGTTGATTTGCTGATATTTGCAACAACTGTTGGCTTAGTTGTCGAGATTGTAGAACTCCGAGACCACCAAATGGGCTTCAGATAGCCCAAGAGGCCCCCAACAGGGTCTCAAGAGGTGACGGCCCAGAAGGTCCCCAAGACCGAAGAACTCTCCGAGAGGCCCCCGAGAGGCATCCCAAGAGACCCTGATACGCTTCCAAAAGGCATCTGACCCACAACCCAGGCACGCTGGTGGGATGGGCCGAAGGACACTAGATTACATCCTTACTCCCAACAGCTGGGTGATTGGGTGGAAATGTGCGAAGCGTGAAGGATTACAGTCGCGCTGACGCGTCGCCAACTTGAAGAACTATTATCTGGCCACGGCCACGGCCGCGAGGCGCATATTGCAGTCATCGTTTTGCCAAGCTGGACATTAAATTGATGACAAACTGGCAAGCCTGAATTGGATCGAACCGCAAGATCGGATCAGATCCCAAACGGATCGGATCCGACTCGAATTGAAATCAGATCGCCGCTGGCCACAACGGATGCCAGCGAATCAAAGCAGAATCTCGGTCCCAGCTGGCGAATCGAAAAGCATCGGACCGCATGCGGCCCTAACTGGCTAGTCCAAGATCTATGCACCTTCGCACCCCCGTCGGCGGCTCGCCTTTTGAGAGGGCTGCGGAAGGGGCCATTCTAAGAGGGCAGGGGGTCGGGAGGCGGAGGGGTCGGCCTTCTAAGAGGGCAGGGCGTCTTCTAAGGCCGTCCACAGCACAGGCGACCACCGATCGAGCCGACAGCGGAACCTAAACCCACCGAAGCCGACAAATCGCGAACAACCAAGAAGGGCGCAACTAACCAATAACGACATACCACGCGATAGAACCCAACCGACTGCGACGCAACCGAAACGACCGAACCGTGCACTCCAACAGGGCCAGGTGCTTCTATACATGTTCCTTTGAAGGTGGGAGGGCGTGCAACCAAAAACAGCCCTGTCTTCTTTCGCACAAGTCGGGGATGGACATACCCCCCTTTAGCAAAACGTGGTGTAGTGAAAACGACCTGAGGCCCAAACCTGGCGGGCGCAAGCCTTGAAAAGAACGGCCACGGCGCCCTCTCGAGAACCGAAAACGGACCATTCACGAATCGACGTGTCACTGTTGGGGGCTCTGTCCACCACCGAACGATTAAAGAATATAAAAAAACGCCGCTGCCCGCTTTGGCACGCCCGATGTGGGCATGGGAAACAGGGGCACGAGGCTCAGCAGCAGGCGCTGCCCGAAACGACAGCTGCCGCCCTTGGGCAAGCGACACTCGACACCGCACGGGCACCGCCCGCGCGGCGACACCGCCAGCGAGCCCTCCCTCCTCCTCCTCCTCCTCCTCCTCCTCCTCCTCCTCCTCCTCTCCCCTTCTCCTCCTCCTCCTCCTCCTCCTCCTCCCCCTCGTCCTCCTCTCCTCCTCCTCCTCCTCCCCCTTCTCCTCCTCCTCCTCGTCCTCCTCTCCCCCTCCTCCTCCTCCTCATCCTCCTCCTCCTCCTCCCCCTTCTCCTTCCTCCTCCTCCTCCCCCTTCTCCTCCTCCTCCTCCTCCTCCTCCTCTCCTCCTCCTCCTCCTCCTCCTCCTCCTCCTCTCCAAAGAACTGATGGTGGCCGTCGTTCCTTCTCTCGCCGTCCTCCTCTCCGTCCGAACGACACTTCCAGGGCCGCCCCGCCCGATCGCCCTCGGGGCAAGACGAGGCCACGAGGGCACAACCATGAAGTCGGGCGTGCCCCTCTTCGAAAAACAGTCAAAACATAAATTTCAACCTTTAAGATCAACTTTGAATATGGTTTGAAAACGTTTTGAACTCGGGACCCTTTTTTTAGAATAAGGTTTGAATACATTCTGAATAAACTTCGAACTCGTCTGGGGACCATTTGTTTGGAATCAATGTTGAACATGTTTAGACTAGTTTTTATTTGTCGTCCAAAATCCCCCCAGTAGGGGGACAGGCCCGACCCAACGCAATCTCCTGGACTCTCGGAGAGACTGCGGACCTGGAGGATGCATTGGGAACCAGAACCCGCTCAAGAGCGCTCCTCGAGCGTGCCCGAACGCTCTGGAACGGCTCATCCTCGTCGGCTGCCTGAGAGTGGGCTCCCCGGCCCTGCGCAAGACCGCGTACCATTAGGTCGGGCCTGTCCCCCTACAGGGGGATTTTGGACGAAGAATAAAAAATCGCCAAACATGCTCAAAAATGCAAACAAAAAACAAACAAAATCCCAGACTATGTTTGAACTATTTCTGAATATTCCTCCTGTAGAGGGACAGGCCCGACTTAGCGCAACACCCCGCCGCCCCCCCTCGCCGCCCTCGCACCCTGCCCCGGGCCCCCCCCCGCCAACGCGCGAGCGCACTGGCGGCGCTCTCCGGGCTGTGTTTGTGCCTCTCCGGAGCCGATCTGGCTGGGCGGGGGGTCGAAAGGGGCAAGAGGCGTGGAGCGATCGAGCGCACTCCTCCTCCTCCTCCTCCTCCTCCTCCTCCTCCTCCTCCTCCCTCCCTCCCTCCTCCTCCTCCTCCTCCTCCTCCTCCGCCCTCCTCCTCCTCCTCCTCCTTCTCCTCCTCCTCCTAGCTCCTCCTCCTCCTCCTCCTCGTCATCG